TTCAGCTTCATTTTCCAGTTGCGGCCATTTTAAGAAAATGTCAAAATTCTGAAAAATTCCCAAGCATAGGCGGTTGCAGGCCTGGGCATTAGGGGGCAATGCCCAGGTTGACTTTTTGACCAATAATTATATTCATGATTCTGGTGTGGGCATCCAGTGTAAACTGTGGTAGTTCAACAGGCTTCTTTGTTGTTTTATGCTAAGAAATCATCTCAATGAAGTTATAGATCAGTATTGTCCATTTTCCTTGCAAAATTGTATGGAACCACACCCACTCCACACCCACTAATTATTGATGCCCAGGTCAAACCAAATTTCTGCAACCGCCCATGTTCCCAAGGCTATAGCCCATGGTTTTTTCCAAAGAATGGCCTTAAATTTACCCCATATTTTTATTACATTTTCTGATACATATTGATGTCTTCATGCTGTGCAGAAAGTTTGAGCTGATTCCAACTTCAATTTTTCAAGTTACGGCCATTTTAAGAAAACGCCTAAATTCTGAAAAATTCCCAAGGCTATATAGCCCATGGTTTTTTTCAAAAAATGGTTCCAAAATCACCCCAAAACTTTATTACATTTTCTGATACAGATTGATGCCCTTGTGTTATGTAGAAAGTTTGAGCCAAGTCTGACTTCAATTCTTTAAGTTACGGCCATTTTTAAAAAGTGCCAAAATTCTGAAAAATTCCCAAGGCTATAGCCCATGGTTTCTTTTCAAAAAATGGCTCTGAAATCACCCCAAATTTTTATTACATTTTCTGATACAAATTGATGTCCTTATGCTGTGTATCAAGTTTGAGCTGATTCCGACAAATATTTTTTGAGTTATTAGCATTATAATGTATGGATATGGTACAACAGCAATAACCAATTATTGTTAAACATACCAGCATTGCATCATTAGTTTATACATTGGTTTAGGACATCCTGGAGGAGGTGGTAATCTATAGCCTGAATCAACCAGTCTAATGGACTGAGAAAAAAAGTAAAAAATATTGATAACTTAGATTTAATATAATATTACCTCTTGATTAGTAGAGTTTTCAAATGGTTTATATCCTAAAGACCAAATCTCATACATTACAGCTCCATAACTCCACACATCACTAGCACTTGAATATTTCTTATAATGTAATGCCTATACATACACAATTCAATATTCTAATTATATAGTTTCTAATTACTTCTGGTGCTGTCCATTTTATTGGAATCTTTTTTGCTTGTGAAATATAATAAGATTCATCTTGTAGGTCCCTTGACATACCAAAGTCAGCAATCTGAGACCATACTATATAAGTCCAATTCTTAGTACTAATCTCTTACCTTGCATATTCCTGTTCCTTCATCTGATACTAATATATTTCTTGCTGCAAGATCTCTGTGAACAAACTTCTTCCCTTGACAAGTACTCCATTCCTGAAGCAATTTGACGACAAAATGAGAGCAAAATAGAAGGAACTGATGATAATACTAACTCCCCAGGACTAACAGAAA